GTGCCAACTTGGGCCAGTGAAGCAACGTCCTCCACAACTAGACTGAAGAACAAAAAGGACAGCAACTTGTCTGTTCCCCTTCTCCCAATTCCCCAGCACTGTTCCCATCCCTGCAATTCCCCAATAAAAATCTTTAAAAAAAAAAGACAGCAATTTGTCTGTTCCCCTTCCCCCCAATTCCCCAGCGCTGTTCCCATCCCCCAATTCCCCAATAAAAATCTTTAAAAAAAAAAATGAAATAAGTGGGACTATACTGAAAAGCTTCATATGTCCATTATCCAAATAGGCAGCAATTACTTACTCAGCAAGCTCATAGTGACCTTATATTCTGTGTAGAGCACTGAGCTAAGTACCAGGGGATGAAGGACATAAATACTAAAGGGTACCCTTCGTAATATTTAGGAGGCTAGTAAGTGAACGGTAAGGTGAGTTACTTCCAGGTTCTCAGTACATTAAATATTACAATATTATAATATTAGATAATATAATATCCTATATAGTGAAAAACTGTGAATAACTAAAATGACCAAAAAAAAGAAGGCATAGCATATTCACACAATGGATTATTTGGGCATTAAAGTGATTACTACAATCGGTAAAATGAAACTATGGTAGAAGTCAATAGTGGTCTTTTTGGGGAAGGAAGGGAAATAGTGACTGGATAGGGAGCATAAGAGGGATTTTGGGGGTACTAGGAATAATCAGTTTTGAGTGGTGGTTAGACAAATGTGTACATTTTGTGAAAATTTGAGCTGTACACTTATGATTTGTTGACTTTTCTGTATATTACACTTCCAAAAAAATTCCTCTGTGTAAAATAACAGGTTATAAAGACTAGGTGACACAGTATGTTGTGAACAGGTGGAGTGACAGGGACCCCTAAACTCTGGGCAACTTACTGAGAATAAAGAAAAAGGTTAAATCAACTACTTAGACATGTGGCTGACCCTGAAGCCAGACTATAAATCTCTGCTGGATTTAGCAGTTTCACCCTAGTGGCCTTTTTAATTATTCCCTTAGGATAATGAAAATGCTGGATCAAAGCTTATGCCACTTTTCATCACAGCTATGAAGTACCATAATGCTTTCCAAAGAAGCTGTACCAATTTCAATACAACCATTAACATGTGGGTAACAATTTTACCTAATCTTGTCAGCATTGGATATAATTTTAAAATATTTAATAGAATAGAATACAAAAGATAACAAAAACAAAATAAACAACAAAAATATTTAATAGGTATATGAGGTGTGATCAAAAAGTACAATGAATGTTTAAATTAAAAAATATTTATTACAGTAAAAGACACATTGCCATTAATCCCCCTCAAAATACTTCCCCCCTCACTTCGAACACACTTATCCCATTGTTCATGCCACTTTCTGAAGCAGTTCTGGAAGTCCTCTTTTTGAGTATCTTTAGTTGTGCTGTTGTGGCTGCCTCAATGTCCTGAATTGATTCAAAACGTTTACCTTTCATGGTCATGTTTACTTTGGGGAAGAGCCAGAAGTTGTATGGTGCCAGATCCGGTGAATAAGGTGGATGAGGACACACTGTAATGTTTTTATTTGATAGAAACTGCCATACCAGAAGCTATGTGTGACACGGAACCTTTCCGTTGTGATCACAAAATATGGTGAATGCTGCTGCCAAGTGCCATCCAACAAAAAGGCAGGGATCTTGAACATGTGAAACTGCAGGTTGAACCTTAGTAACAGTGCAACAAGTTTCAACTTATTCAGTGCAGTCAGTTGGGTGTGAGTTACAGTTGAGAGAAGGTGTGTTTTAAAGTGTGCCATAAATCATCCTCTGTTATGACAATGCTCCTTGTCACACATCGCTTCCAGTACAGTAATTTCTATCAAATAAAAACACTACAGTGTGTCCTCATCCACCTTATTCACTGGATCTGGCACAGTGCGGCTTCTGGCTCTTCCCCAAAGTCAAAATGATTCAGGACATCGAGGCAGCCACGACAGTGCAACTAAAGCCACTCATGAAAGGACTTCCAGAACTGCTTCAGACAGTAGCAAGAACGATGAGATAAGTGTGTTTGAAGCGAGGGCGGGGGGTATTTTGAGGGGGGTTGATGGCAATGTGTCTTTCACTGTAATAAATATTTTTATTTAAACATTCACCGTATTGTTTGATCATATCTCATAAAATGGTTTCTCATTGTAACTTTATTTTGTGCTTTATTGCAAACTAGTAATTTATCTGTTGGTCTGAAACTTTTATAAGTTTAAAGAAATTTTATGTATTACAAATCCTAAATCTGTCAATCACTAAAAAAGAGCATTTTTTAAAATGAAGTCTTCCTCTATAATAACTCCACAACTTAAAACCAGAAAAACATTTATCTATCTTTCAAAATCTGATCAATTTCTATTTTTTATTACTTATTTTTACAGTTAACTCTAATACATTTGGAGTTTAATATCACACTGTTTGTTATGTTTGTAACATGTCTAATATTGGTAAAACCAGCTAGAATATCCACTTCTACCTTTTTAAAAATTTTGACTCTAAATACAGTATAAATAAATTTGGAGGGCACCAATATCGTTACATGATTTTAGTTTTCTCATTTAGACCCATGTCTCTCCAATATTTAAT